CAGCACTCACCAACCCATTAACAATGGCCCTGTCCTCATTGTCAATCATTCCTTCAATCCACCCTGTCATCTAAGGAGGGGAAACTTCCCCACCAGGGATTCCAGAGGAAGCCTGTACCTACCCCAACAGTATTCCCACCCAAAAATTCATCATTCAGGGTGGCCCTCAGCAACACAGCCATTGTGCATACCTAACTGTGTTATGCTGGAGAGAAACAACAATACTATCAAGCTGATATTAAGATTAATATTTCCTATTCAATAAGTCATGTTAATTTCATATGTAGTGAGTCCTGGTGCTCACAAGACAACAGTTTTAACCTCAAAGCTGAGCCTCTGGTACATACCACCATTAATATTTGAAGTTGGGGATAGATGATCTAGACCTTGATAAGCTAAATCTAAACGTGGATCTTAGTTAAATCCTGACTTTGGCAATTCTCCAAGACCCTCCAGATGACTCCCTATTGCAAACATTCTCTTCCCTTAATATCATATCTTCATTTTAAGTGTCTGATTTTGCTTGCTGTATGCTAGACCATTTTTACAATATCAGCCTCCAGATTTAAAACTCAATGGGATTCTCTGCAGCTACTGTTTCCCTCTCTCAGATCAAAATCAAGAGAAAAGGAGTCTTTCTATTGATGTGCAGGGCATTAAATAAAATGGCATGTACTTCTTTGAATAGCCATTGCCTTTAAATTATAATACACACTTATCACTAATGATGGCACAGTTCCCCCTCCTATACTGAGACAGACTATTGTTATTTTTTTATTTTAAAAGGCTGTAGAGGGGTGCCTGGGTGGCTCAGTCAATTAAGCATCTGACTCTTGGTTTCAGCTCAGGTTGCGATCTCACGGTTCATGAGTTCAAGCCCCACATAGACCTCCGCTTGGGATTCTCTCTCTTTGTCCCTCTCTCTTTTCCTCTCTCTCTGCCACTCCCCTGCCCATGCTCTCTCTTTCTCTCTATAACTAAATAAACTATTTAAAAAAGTTTTAAGATAAATAAATACATACATACATACATACATAGGCTGTAGAATAGAAATTAAAAAGACTATATCATGTGGCGCCTAGGTGGTTCAGGCAGTTAAGCTTCCAACTTCAGCTCAGGTATGATCTCATGGTTTGTGAGCTCGAGCCCTGCATCAGGCTCTCTGATGACAGCTCTCTCTCTGCTGCTCCCCCAACTTGCACTCTTTCTCTCTTCCAAAAATAAATAAACATTAACAATTTTTTAAAGAATAAAGACTGTATTGTGACAGATGGTAGCTACACTTGTGCTGAGCATAGCATAAGGTATAAATTTATATAAACTTATAGAATCACTATGTTGTACACCTGAAACTAATATAACATTGTGTGTCAATTATACTCAAAAAAATAAAAATAAAAAAGCCCAATGGTATTTCAATGGTAACTTCACCACCTAAGAAAGAATTTTTTCAAAATTAGCTCATTTATTTTATTTTTTAATGACAGATTCAATTTTCCACTACATCTAGACAGAAGACTCCACAATACTCTCTCCTGAATGCAAAAGGAAGAAAATTTTTTTCTACCTCTTGCATTATTCTCTATTATAAGTAGAAAGAAATTCTGTTTTATGTCCTAATAATGTCAAGGAGCATTGAAAATCTTTTCCCTCAGTCAAGAAGCCCACAAACCTTTCCTCAATATCATCTCCTCAAGTGCACATTTGGCTCCCAGGAATATTGTTCAGTCTCCAGCAGCTGCTCTTCTCCTCACCTAGGTCCCAACTCCCAATTTGTAGTTCCCCATGTGTTGTGGACATCTGGTTTCCAAGTCTTCAAAGAAGCAAGACTGAGAAACTTGAAGAAAATCATGAAACAAAATAATCACCCCTAATTTACTGCTCTTATTTGTTCTCCTACTATTTTCCTTGTATTTCCTTAAATTTTCCTTGAAAATTCATAAATAATCAAAGATTACCTGATATAAAAACTCATTCTATCAAGAGGGAAACTAAGCCTCAAAGACATGAGATACCCAAAGGCATGGGTAGTTAATGGGAGAGCCATTGAATACACAAGTGTCTTCTTGTCCAGTGTCCTAGGCATCCTAATTCTCTGTGTAGCATTCCCCCAATCTCAACAGCAACCCAAACCTGAGCCAGCTGCCTCTGTAGACAAATACAGAGAAAGGGCCCTCCCCATTCTTCACACCATCTTTGTGCTTCTGATCATTCCTCCAGGAAGAACAGGCTTTCAGCTCAAGTATGCATCTGGGAAACCAGTGCTACTTAAGACTGGGCATACCCAGCTCTGACCACCACTTCAAAATACACCTTTGTGAAAACCTACCTTTTTTTCCCTTGT